GAGCTGTGAGTGAAACGAACGAATGAAGGAGCTGCCTGAAAGAGTTGTGGGTTCAAAAGCTTAAGAAGAACCATCGTGGGAGGGGGGCCGAGACAGACCTAACCCACTGGGGCCCATTCTCTCTCCACTTTCACTTTTCTGGGCTCCCTGACTCATGGGGCGAGGGGAGCAGTGGCACTGGGAGCTCTCAAGCGGAAGGGCTTCCGGCCTGCAGAGAACCACCATGAGATCCTTCGAGGGGCGGCAAGAGGTACCGACACGCCTTACACAGACCAGCGTAGACCAGGAAGTTTCTGCTTCCCCTTTTGGCACAGATATTTCCATGAGGACGTGGGCATAGGCCTCTGAGGATGGAGGCCCTGGTGGTCTGGGTGCGTGTATCTTGTGTACAGATGCTGTGGTTCTAGAACTGGCAGAGGCATCGAGTCCGGGGGACGGTGGCTGAGGGGGTCTGTATGGGTGCCCCTAGCTAAGGCAGCTCAGGAAAGGAAGGGAGACTGTGACCTCAAGGACCTAGCGGGGGAGGGCAGACATCTGAGGAGCCCCAGGGTTGAGGCCCAGCCCTGTGACAGCAAAAGTTTTGGCCCTGCATGGTGGCGGTGTTCGCGGCTTTCATCCTATTGTCAAGAGCCCGCAGCCCAGACTCCCACCCTGGTTTCTCACTGCCAGTCCTCACATCCACCCCTGCTTGCCTCTCTAACTCAGGTTCTGGAAGTGTGGACCAGCACTGCTAGGTGCTTTAAAACGTGCCTGTTTCCAGGTGCCACTGTGACCCACAGAACTGGGAACTCTGGGTACACCCCGGCAATCTGGGCTGATCAGCTCTCCAGAGACCGCCACCCTTTACTGTGGAGGCTGGAGGGCTAAACTGTGATGGCCCAGCTGTCCTTGCAGCTGGGACGGTCATGTGACCCCGTCTGCTGAAGGGGGTTCTGGGAAAGCACCTACTGCCTCCACAGGAAGACCCACCGCCCTCACCTGGAGACTAGAAGCTGCAGGCAACACGGTAAGGAGAACAGAAAAGGAAAAGAGGGTACCAGGGCCTAATGGGGTTCCCTGAACTGCAGCACCAGCCTGCTCTTCCCTCTCCGCACTCCCTTTTAGCACACTGCTAAGCCTATTTTGGGGTCAGCTTTCCTCTCCTCTCCAGCCAAATAACTCCTCACAGATAGTCTGTGACTGCCTCCAGTGAACATAAAAATCTCTTGTCTCCTGGAAAGCAAGACTGAGGGTCAGCCAGGATTTCTCTCCTTCTAGCTGGGCACTAGGGGTTTGCTTCCCAACTTGGAAGCAAACTAGTGTGCAAGCAGGTTCAGATGCAAATGTGTTTCCGCAGAGGGGAACCCCACTCTCATGGCCAAGGGAGGGAAAGAAAGGACAAGGTCCGGGGGAAGCTGATGGTGTTCAGGGTCCCGTGGGCCCGGCTAGTACAAGCCTTACCTGGGCTGCCTTGGTGGGTCGCGGCTGCCCCCTGCCAGGCCGGTTGGAGTGCTGGAGCCTGAGGAGTACAGCTTCGGCCGGTAGCCCTTGCTCTGGCCAGCCACTGCCGGAGCGGGTGAGACTTCCCGCCGCCTGTCCGTGTGGTGGGGCCTCCCAGCGGCCTCTCGGCCACCCCCACAAAGTCCCATACTTCCGGGGGGCTTGTGTGGCTTGGCGGGCCGAGGAGTCTTGGCCAGAGACAAGCAGCTGGGACTGGAGGTGTAGAGGGCGGTGTCGATGCCGCTGTCGCTGGAGCCGCCCTTGGAGAGGGGGTCTGGCTCGGGCTCCAGTGGGTCCAGCGGCTCAAACCAGCGGTCGTCGCTGTGGCTGCTGGACGCGTTGCTGGAGAGGGTGTTGCTGCTGGAATGACTGGAGTACTGGGGCTCTCCCTGGAAGGCAAGAGACGGTTTGCAGAGAGGCCAGGCAGACCCTCCCTTCCCTCTCTGGGTCCTCCGTCTATGTGGGTCTGAACCTGGGCCAGACCGTTTTGAACCCACTAGTGGGTCACTGACTCAATTTCCTGATCCTCAGTTTCCACCTCTGTAAAATGGGCTTGATAATCACCCCAAGTCGGGAGGCTGCTTGGAGAGATGAGTCACTGTGTACGTAGGTGCCCCCCCAACATCCAAACTGGGGCCCTGGCCCTTCCTCCTCAATCTTCTCCCCCGTCTCCTTACGGTGCTTCCAGCCTCACAGTATTCAGCTGCCCTAATCCCCGGACCCTGCTCTGGCCCTCACGCCTTGTCTAGTCCAACAGCAAATCCTGCTGCTCGCATCTTCCAAACAGATCCAGGATCCGGCGCCTTTCCTCCCTCCATGGCGCCCAGGCCCCGCTGGGTCACCTCAGCTTCCTCTCTGGCTTCCTACTCCTGCCAGCACACCACCCCTACCCGAGTTTGTTCCCTGCATGCAGTCAGAGGCACAGGCCTTCGCAGCTCAGAACCCTCGCGTGGCTCTCTCCTGCTCGGGGCTTGCGAAGTGAGGGGCCTCACCACGGCCCGCGGGGGCCTACGTGACTGTTCTCACGTCTGAACCCCTCTCCTCCCTTCTTCATCAATGTGCTCCGGCCACACTGGCCTCCTTGCTGTTCTGAGTGTTCTAGGCACACCTGCACCTCAGGGACTTTGCACCTGCTTTTCCTGCCATCTGCAAAGCTTTCCCCCTGCTCGTCTCAGGGCTCACCGTAAAAGTCACAAAGTAAACTGCATGTAAGCTTTCAGCTCCTCGAGGGCCACCTGTTCCTCAGGTGGGAACAGAGCTGACACTCTCTCCCCTCAACCGCCAGGGCTTTCTTTCCCAGCAAGATCAGTTCCTGGTGTTATTAACGTGCCCATTTTTCTGTGCAGGGTCTGCTGCCCGCACTGGGAGGTCAGCTTTGTGAGGCCGGGGGCTCGTTTATCCTCTTTAGCACTGAGGTTCCAAAGCCTGGCATGCCGTCAGTGCTCCTCAAACACCCACCGGATGAGGGGCTGCCAAGAGCTCGCCAAAGCTGTCGCTACTTCCTGGGCACCCAGGGCCACGTTTCCCAGCTTCCCCTGCGGTTAGGTGTGGTCAGTGACAGAGTCCTGGCGAGTGCGATGTAAGTGGGAGTGATGGATGCCCTTTCCAGGCCCGGGCTGTGAACATTTCCCAAGTGATCCTGCCTCCCTCCCCTCCCCACCTGCTGGAGCAGGGCAGGGATCCAGCAGAGGGCCCCAGGCCTTCCTGGGAGAGAACCCCACCACCGAGCCGCCCAGGGAGGGGCCTCATCCTGCATCATCACGTGGGAAGTGCTCGCTGAAGACCTGTGCTGAATTGTTAACAAGGTGGAAAGATGTTTCTGTGCTGAGAGGACACAGATGTGGGTACTGCCCGCTACAGCAGTTAATCCACCGCCCTGCCTGCCTGTGCTCAACCGACACTCAAGCGGACGCCCCCCGCCAGGGTGGGGGGATCAGCAGGCATGACATCACAATCGCGCGTGTGCTCGCGTACACACGCACAGAATGTTCTTACAAAAGGGCCCCTGAAGGCGCCCTCTCCCCTCCCTCCAGAGGCGGGAGGCTGTCCGTGAAGCGGGAAGGGGCTCTGGGCAGACACCGAATCTGCCTGCACCTCGGACTTCCCAGCGTCTGGAACCGAGAGGCAAACGGACACTGCCCGGAAGCATCCCAGGTCGCAGTAATTTGCCAGAGCGGCCAGCGGACGACCTCCCACGGCTGACGTGATGAAGGGGGAACCTCGCTCCAGCAGGGGCGGCCTGGCAGGGAGGGCTGCGGCGGCTGTGCGCGGGGCTGGCTCGGACTCCAGGCGCACCGGCCCCTTTGCACAGCTGGCGCGGCCACGGTGGTGGAGAGCTCACGTGTGCGCGTGTGTGGAGACCCGCGGCCAGATGGGGTCGCCCGGCCCGCAGCGGTCAGGCAGGGCCCAGACTCACTCTGGAATGTCTGTTGGGGGAATCTTTGCCTGCTGCGTCCTGCCTGGAGGCGTGCTTGCTCCCGCTGCTCGCAGCCATGGCCGAGAGCCGGGCCTGGGCCGGCACATGCCACAGAGGCTCTGCAGGAAGACAGGACACACACGGCTGTTAGAAGGTTCAGGCCCCGGCCCCAGAGCGGGCATGGCGGTCCCACCCCTCTGCCACTTGCCCGCTCAGCTCGCACGGGCCATGACCCAGCCACTAACGTCGCAGGATACAACACACTCAGTAAGGGAAGGTTTGCCAAGCACTTACTAATAGCCAGGCACCATTTCTGCATCCCAGAGGTCAGCACACCCCTCCATTGTCATCCCGAAGGGCTTGGAGCACAACCTCACCCTCACTGTGACCATGAGGTTTCCATTTTGTGAGTTAATCGTCCCTGTCCTGTACCCATTTCACTACTAGACCGGCTGCTTTGCATCTTACTGGGCAACAGAGTTCATCAGTAGCAATCCCTTGCTGTTAAATGCACCTCACGTTTTTGTTAAAGGAAATGGGGTCACCTTTATGCATACAGAAATGGGGTACAGGCGAGAGATGCAGGGGGTAGAGAATTCACCAGAGACAGAGTGGGGAGCAGAACAGGCAGATCGACGAAGTACACTGCTGAGGGGAGCAGCGGGCGGGTCAGGAGAGGTCTGCC